AATTATTTTATTGTATGTTTACCCAATTTAATGGTGTAAGAATACAACTCAATAATTATTTCCACCCGTAAGTCTTCAATCCCGGTTAAAGGTAGAGAAGGCTTACGGTGTATTTAAAAAGTGTTCTATTTTATGATTATATCAATTTTAGCTCATATTCCTTGTAACAATTATGTTTATGATTGGGCCCTTAATTAAAAATCACAAACATTTCAAATTTATTTATTTTTAAATACAACATCTAAGTAAAAATAAAATCAACAATCCATGTTTAAAATATTCAAAACATTAAGATGGACAATTAATTACACCAACTTCTAACCCCAATGGAATTTAGAAGTTCATAGTTTGAAGCTTAAACAAATAAATATTTATTACAATAATAAAAATCTTACAAAATGGAAGATGTGTTCTTGAGCTCCAACTAAAATTGATGGTGTTGATGATGATGAAGATGGAGTAATTTTTATGTGTTTGGAAGAAGAAAGTGGTGAGATATTAGTGATGGAGGAGGAGAATTTCGGACTAGAGAGAAGAAGAAAATGGGGGTTCCAACCTCCTTGAAGAAGAGAAGGGAGTGGATTTTATAGATAAATTCGTATATATGGAGTATATACGAACAGTTACAATTCCAGTCAATACAGCTACAGTAGCGCACATGGAAATGCAGCTGGTTGTCTTGCCGTGTCACCCGTGTTCGAAGCTTCCCACTGTTTACTGTTTTGTCATTTTTCTCTTTGGATCAATGGCCGACTTTCAGTTAAGATCATTAACCCTGTTCGCCAGTGATATGCCGAATAATCAGGTATGGTGTGATTGTCAAAGCTCCGGTTCCACATGCTGCACGTCCAGAGTTCGAATCCCAGGGCTGTTTTATGCTTTATTTTTGTTTGATTCCTTCATTCCTTCAAGTTTCTTCCATTTATTTTGGTCCCAAACTTCCATGTTTATTTTCCATCCTTGCAATTATCCTAAATGCATCCAAATGACCTCAAAATGCCTGCAAAACATATAAAACCAAGCATAGGACTGCTCTACCAAAATAAAAAGGAAAATTGGAACAAAATATAAATATTAAATTCAATTGGGACTCAAAACTCCTTCAAAATATGTCTAAAAAGTGTATAAAATATGTGCATATCAGCGTTGCACGGGTAATTTTTATGTCCTTAAATTAAGATCATTTTGAATACTAAAAAATGTAATGTAATAGAATATAGAGATTATATTATTTTACGGTACAAAACATCGTTACTTTACAAATTTCGAAAGACTTCTTTGTATACTCCGTACTACATTATTCGTACAATTTGTGGAACATTGTCTTCGTTGCATATCAAAATCTTCAATCCACTACGATCAGTTACTTTTGAGACTGCAACATATAATTGTCCATGACAATAATCCAACATGTTTTAGAGATTGTCCCTGACTCTTGTTAATCGTCATTGCGTACGAAGTAACCACATGGAATTGTCTTCTCTAAAGCTTGAATGGAATTCTTGTATCGAATGGTGTTAATGATAGTCTTGCAAGCACACTAAAAATATGTATCCCCCGAAAACTTTCAAAAGATATGGATTTTACTTTTAAATTTATATATAGGCATTTTCATTACCAAATAATAAATGCTAAATTATTTGTCTTACTTTGATTATATTGTATATAGTGTTAAAGAACGTATTACATATATTTTTTATAAACTTATTTAAAAATATTACATTGAAGATGATTCACAAAATCAAGAAAATATTTTTTCGATCCCGTGCGTGGCACAGGGTGATTGGTAGTTTTTTTGGTTTAGAAATTGCACAATATCTTGACTCTCTGAAGAATGAATATTTTCTGATATTGATTAAGGGAGATTACATGTTATATATATACAAAGGTTTCCTAATGATAATAGAAAACAATAATTAATACACCCTATACAAGTATGGTAGCTACCAATATTCATAAATATTAAATATAGTAAGAATATATTTAACATGCTCTCAACGGAACTGACGAAGATTGCCGGACGCCCAACAAGCTCGAAACTCAGAGAAAATCATGGAGGGTAGTCCCTTGGTGAAGATGTCAGCATACTGTAGAGAAGAAGGGACATGAAGGACACGTATCTGACCCAGGGCTACTCTGTCGGGTACAAAGTGAATATCAACCTCAATGTGCTTCGTACGCTGATGCTTGACAGGTTTTGCAGAAAGATAGACAGCACTGATGTTGTCATAGAAAACTAGTGTGGACTTTCCAAAAATATCCTTGATGTGATGGATAAAAGTAATATGTGATGGACAGATTATTAGTAAAAAAGCATGATGCGATAGATAGGATATGAAAACGTAAGAGGTAAAAGTGGTTTTTAAATAGATATAGGAACATCCTTTAGGGACAAGAATAAAATGAAAGCGGAAGATCTTTTGGAGACGGAGGGAGTATAATTTTCGGTTCTCAATACTATTCTTGGAAAGTCAAACTATAATAATCTTTATATTTGATATATTATTCTTTATTTTTTATGTGATTATCTTTTGTCCAGGTAAATATCTTGTTGACACATGTTACTGATAAGTCTGATATACACCTTCTTCCATCCGTCCCAAAACATATACCCTCCTCTCCCCTCAGTCCCAAAATAAAATTTTCAATATGATTTTTACGTATATTAAGAGAAATAAAAATATTTGGCTGATACTTATGTAGTGGAGAGATTTATGTAAACCACTCAAACCATTCTGTGAAGAGAATGGAAAGTTTATTTTGGGACAACAACAAAAATAAAAACTAAGAAATTTATTTTGGGACAAAAGAGAAGAAAGCAATTACTCTTGTTATTTATGATATGTGACTGGAGTTATATTCAAATGAATTGATATACAAATTGAGGTAGGATTAAAACATGGAAATTTATATATTTAAAATTATATCAAAATATCTACCATACAAAAAGAAGTGGCATGCCAATATATCATTTTAACATTTGAGTAACTAAAATGAAAAAACAAGACTAATTATAATTTCACATTGTGAATATATAGTATATACACACATAATTGGGACGTGAGGAATACCATTTTACAACTATTTGTGCTAACCATTTTAGAGACGTATGCCTCGTACAGTCCATGACCCACGCACGCCACATGTCACGGCGATGAAATGGGTTTTACAGTACCTCCACGGCACACCCTCCCACAGCATCTCCATCTCTCTGTCTCCAACGGACTTTATGCGAGCTTCCTCGGATGCTGATTGGGCTGGCAATCCTGACGCTCGTCGGTCCACAACTGGATATTGCATCTTTCTCGATCTTTCTCGACGACAATCTCATCTCATGGTCCTCCACGCGTCAGCAAACCACGTCACACTCTAGCGCCGAGGCGGAATACAGTGTCATAGCGAATGCCATAGTCAAAGTTAGTTGGGTGCGCAACTTACTCCTGGAGCTCCAGCAACCTCTTAGTCGTTCCACACTTGTGTTTTGTAATAAGTTAGTGTTGTCTATCTCTCTGCCAATCTAGTCAAACACCAACGCACAAAACACATCAAGGTTGACATACACTTTGTTCGAGACAAGGTGGCTCTCGGACAGATACGAGTTCTCCATGTCCCTTCCTCGCTACAGGATGCAGATATCTTTACAAAGGGTCTCCGAACCACTGCCTTCTCAGAGTTTCGGGCCGGGATAGCTTGTGAGTTCGACAATCTTCATCAGTGCCGTAGGGAGCATGTTAAATATATTGTTTCTATATTTAATATTGTAACGGGACCTAAGTGAAATTTGCACTAAATGGGAGTAAAACATAAGTCATTTCCCAATTTAGGACTTAAAATTTTTTTATTCCATAAATAGGACTTAATAATATCTAATGTAAGTAATAATGTCTAGTAATGATGGACATTTACTTGAATAATGACTAATTGATAATGACCAAAAGTCCTACATTGGGAAATAAATGCATGTAGTCCTATATTGAGAAAGTCATTATATTTTAGTCCTACTTAGATAAATTTCTCAAATGTAACACTAATTTTTTTAAAAAAAAAAAGGTTTAAACGAAAGAAGAACAAACCAAAACTAAAAACAGAATATTGTAGAAAATTACAGTGTTAGCTGGTTCGGAGACGTTGACTACTACTGATGCGGCCCAACCAGTGTTAGACCTGAAGGAAGGGGAAGGTCAGCCCATGAGTGACATATCGGGTCGTCCAAAGAGGAACGTTGGTCCGCCAAGAAGATATACAAATTATGTTTAGTGTCATTATTTTATTATTATTGTTTCTCTTAATTATTGTATTTAGATTTTCTTAGGTGAGCAATATATAAGCTCTTTCGAGAGTTTTCTTTCGGTTCTTTACCTTGATATTTTTCTTGAACCAACGGGATAGAAAACTAGAATATTAGGGTTGGGGAAAATCTTTTCCTATTTAAATGGATGCTCTTACGTACTCCCTCCGTCCCAGAGTATTTGTCCACTTTCATTTTTACACACCATCCAATACACTTCTTTAATCCATTTTATCTTGTAATTTGTATATTAAAAAATTATAAAAATTATATATTAATAATCTATATGTTAAGACAAATCAAACAAGATCACACATGACTATATTTAGGCTTATTCATTAAGAGAATTTGATGAGTCAAAGTGCTTAGATAAACAGTTTCAAAAGTTAAAAGTGGACGAATATAGTGGGACGGAGGTAGTAATAGACATCCATAATAATACAACTCATAATGCCCCTACTTTTTTCTTCTCCCTCAACTCCTACAATTCTTCTCCCTTTCTACTTTGTTTTGGCCGCACGGTGTGGAGTGCTGCCGTGAAGCCTTGGCTCGCCGTGGTTACGTGCCGCCACTTCCCTAGGGTGGTATCAACAAGGGAAAGACCAAAGTAGGACTAAAACATTGAAAAATATACCAAAATAGGACTTCATGTTTTTATTCCCGAAATAGGACTTACATTACCAAACATGGTCATATACATTACCAAGAAAGTATAGTAATTTGCACATGTACACTGCCACATTACCACAATGCAAAGTCACATTACCACAGTGCAAAGTCCTATTCTGGGGAAAAAATGAAAGTCCTATTTTGGTACTTTTCTCTATGTTTTAGTCCTATTTAGGATGATTTCTATATCAACTACTCTACCAAAAAAATTCTATATTAATTTTGAACGTAAAAAAACAAGAAGAATGTGGAGTATATTAAAGGGAGGGAATAATGTATTATTACTGCGAGCAATGCTAGGGGGGTGTACCCCATTTGTCTCCCACCATTTTCTCCACCACTCATTTTTATCTCATTTTTATTTATTTAATTTTGTTTTAGTTTCTTGCCCATTTTTGGTGTATCCATAACATTTTTCTATTATTGCTCTTACTATGAAGAGCGTGACGGTCTCATAAGCGTTAATTGGAAGGTCAAATCACCATATATAGTTTGCCATGAGTTCAAGAATATATATATATATATATATATATATATATATATATATATATATATATATATGAGAGAGAGAGAAGAGTGGTGAGTTTATCATGTAAATATGATATACGGAGTATATATGATGCAAAACCGGGCAAAAGGTTGTACTGTACTGCTGTACATCTGCTATGACGCAAATTAAAGACGCACGCCCCTATCAATCTACGAGGAACATAGCTAGATAGTACAATCTATGATATGAGACCACAAATAAAATAAATATAACTTGTTCATGAGATTATAATTCATTCTGCATGCATGTATGTATCAAGGCCTACTCTAAAATGTCCAATTATAAATTTCTAATTTTATACCCCTCTGTCCAAAAATTGATTTTTATTGCCTGCAATAAATTAAAACTAGATAAATAATCTAGAATGTAATAATTACTCCTAATATGCGTGGCATCGTTTCTTTCCTTTTAATACTCCCTCCGTCCACATTTTGATTACAATATTCCCTTTTCGAGTATATTAATAATAAGTCAAATCAATAAAAGCTTTCCCAAAATAACCTCTTGTTCCATGGCATTGCACGTGGGTTTTAAAAAAAAGGAAACATGACATCAGCAATAGTACAACACATTGAGTACATAAAGTTTCTTTAAGTTTAAAATTTTGGACAAAAAAGTAGAGGGAAAACAAAAGTAAAACTATCCAAAAATTTCAATTCCCTCCTAAATAACTACTCTTGCATTTCTTAGTATAAATAAGTACATTTACTGCACTGGTCCTTCATTCCTCTTCAACTTTAATTCCCTGCAGATTCTTTTCCTTCAATGTATCTTCTTTTATTTCCCTTTGATTTGAATGAACTTCCTCCGTTGTCAGCATCAGAAGCAGCAGCTTTTGAAGGTCTGCCAACACGTCCGGAACCTCCCGTAACTTCGGTCCTCTTCAATGGACGCCGAGCTCAAAACAATCACGACCCTGGTTTTGGACGTCTTTCAGCTGCAGACCTTTCACACCTTGCTGCTCCAACCACCGTGCAGACCGGGCATAACACGTCACCTGCAGAAAATGAACATCAGACGCAGAACAAGCCAAGGTTGTCAATGGAGGTAAGAAAACGCATAACTGATCAATTATAATCAACATCTACGAATAACAAACTTCAGAGGGGGGTCGTTTAATCACTGGTGCAAGAATACAACACGTGTTATAAGACCATTTACTTGTTGTGGTCTAGAGCTAAAGAACAAATGATAGAAGGACTACCCGTTGATGTTCAAACAAAGATGAAAGGATGCGTTGGTAGGAAAAAGTTGGATCTAGATTTACAAAAGCTAGCTGAAGTTCCTTAATGTAAAAGGAAGAATTTGAGATCAGTGGCAAGCCAACTAAATGTCTCAAAAACAACTGTGCACAGGTTGTTCCAAAGGAAGGAGATAAAGCGACATTCAAATGCCATAAAGCCTCTTTTGACATCCATCGGTAAGTTAAAAAGGTTGCGGTTTTGTTTAGATAACTTAGTGCGTGACACCATTCCCATGAACCCTACTTTTCATCACTTTTATGATCATGTTCACATTGATGAGAAATGGTTTCAGCTAACCCAAGAAACAACCACTTTTTACACCCTACCAACTGAGGATGACCCATATAGAACCATACAATCAAAAAAGTTCATTCCAAAAATCATGTTTGTAGCAGCAGTAGGGAGGCCAAGGTTTGGGGAAACTGGTGAAACTTTATGGGATGGGAAGGTTGGAATTTTTCCCTTTACATTTGAGGAAGCTGCAAAAAGAAACAGCAAGAATAGGCCAGCACTTACACTGGAAACAAAGCCAGTTGATGTTGTTAACAGAAAAGTAATGACGGAAATGATGCTTACTAGAGTCATACCTGAAATCAAGTTGAAGTGGCCTGATGCTCATAACAAGCACATTATCATACAATAAGACAATGCAAAACCACATGTAGACCCTGGTGACCTAGACATTGTACAAGTATGTCAAGAGGATGGTTGGGATATTAAACTCCAGTTCCAGCCTCCCAACAGTCCTGACTTAAATGTCTTGGACTTGGGATTCTTTAGAGCTATTGACAGTATCAAAGATCAAAAAGCTCCAAAGAATGTTAAAGATCTGATCAGTGATGTGGAAAAATCCTTTGATGAAATGACTCCACAAAAACTGAATAAGGTTTTCTTAACCTACCAATGTTACATGGAAGAGATTATAAAGCAAAAAGGGGGTAACCAGTATAAGATTCTACACATGGGAAAAGACAGGTTGGAGAGGCTGGATCAGTTACCAGATAACATTCAAGTTACCATGGATGATGTTGAGGCTGCTCAAAATTTCATAGCATCACAAGGTGGTGTATGAAATTTCAAGTTGTATCATTTTTTTGGTACTTGTGTGCAAATGCTATGGCGACATCTACCTATTTAAGTGTACTGTCCATTTTCACTTTTTTGCTTTTTGGGTTTTTGGGTGTGGGATTTATGTATGTACATCACAAATAAGGGCTATGATACTTTATAACTCCATCCCCATACATAGTGTTTGCACATGTACAATAACACTTTACTAAAGTGTAGCAATGTAAAATGTATGTTTTGAATGTATGTTATGCAATCTTAATGCTAGCCATCACACACAAAAGAATCAAACACAACTTTTGTAATAGTCCCTCATAGATCTCAGAAAATATGTCATCATTGATCTCAGGGTCTATACTAAACCAGGGACACCTTATACCTCGGAACATATTGCAATCAAATTAGGACCTAAAGGAGTAATACTTGTAGGATTCATCCCTCAGTGAATATTGTAATCAAAATGGGGGAGAGAGAGACTTCAATTAGTGTCATAATTTATCTCATTTTAACCAAAAGTAGTCACCTTATACCTCAGGGCCAAAACACAAACAATAGTGGCTGTGGTAGACCTCAGGGCAGAGTGAATAACATTTTGCATAGCATAGCACATGATAAGTGGGAAATGGGGATCTCAGGAAAAGCAGAGCATTTTGCATCATAAACCAGACCCACTTAAATACGTAATGGGACAGGGGACAGGGACCAGGGACATTTACTACCAAAGAACTCAGCAAAAACACACAACATACATAATGAGTCAGGGACCAGCACATCGGGGAGCATCATAGTTCTTACGCATCCTCCCAAACAGAGGTGGAAACAAACAAGGGCTATCACAGATCAGTCAATACGTTCCTAGCTACACCACAATGGTAAAAGTCAAATTAACATGGCATTCTTTTATCCCAGTTCAGAATTTTGAAGCATAACCCCCATATCATCATCAGTTTCAAAAAAACTTACCACCAGCCTGGATGCGCATTAAATAAATAAAAGGAGAATTCATACCACATGGTTCCAGCCAAGAAGGTCTTTTTGGAGGACTATCCATGAAAAAATAATCCATGCATGTCATTTTTGTCGGGTCATACACAGAGGTTACCTCTTCCTCTTCCCCTTCTTCGCTCGAAAATCCCACTTCAGTATCTTCTACAACCAAGTTGTATTTCTTTCTAAATCTCCATGTAGGGTCTGTTTCAGACGTGTATGAAGGTGATTCAAAGGGAACCACACATGTATTTTTATATTCGGAGATGGGAGGAGATCTAGATCTAGATCTTAAAGGTGATTCTTGTGACAAAAGATGGAAAGTAGGCATGAACGAATCTGGAGTCCATGGAGAAGACATAGGAAGAGGGAAGAGGAATCGTGGACGATGAAGAGGAAGATGAAGAGGATTGAGAGAAGATGAAGAGGAATGACATAAGATGAAGAGGAATGAAGGCGGATGGGATTTCGAGAAGAGAAGGGGACAGATGGGTGGATATTATTGTGGAGGGGTATTTTGGACAAATACATGGTAAATTTTACCAAAATGGAATTTTGTAATCTATTTTGATACAAATAAAATAAGGAATATTGTAATCAAAATGGAGACGGAGGGAGTATTTGTTTTTGGCAAATGCTTAGCCTTACTTTTCTCATTTCCAAATGAAGATAGCCATTGAGGTGGGGCAAGGCGGATGAACCGGCCACGGGACAATAGAGAAGCGGACGGCTTAGATTACAATAAAGTCAGGAGGCGTGGCGCGACACAAACCTCTCGATTCGATCCATCTCCACATTCCGTAACAGTCTCTTTCTCGCAATATTCACCTCTGACTCCCCCCCTCTCTCTCTCTCTAGACGACTTCTTTCAGATCATTTCGTAGAGCAAAAAGTAGCAGAAATGGCGGATCAGCTCACCGACGAACAGATCTCCGAGTTCAAGGAGGCGTTCAGTCTCTTCGACAAGGACGGCGACGGTTTGCTCCTTATCTGGCTTCTTTATATTTCTGCGCTGTATGCGTGCTTGTTCCATACGTTTATTTGTTGCACAGATCTGGTCGATTTTTACATTTCTGTCTTGCAAATATGCGTCATTTTGAGACAGTTCGTTTTTTTCTTCATAAATAACACATGATTTTGTTCAATGTGTATGATGATTGAGGTAAGGTTGGGAGCTCATTTTCGTTTTCTTGCGACTTGTATTTGTAACCGTATGCTGCTGTATTTTCCATGCTCAAATCTAAAAACTTGATTCTTCTGAGATCAATGATGTATTTGTAAACTGTTTTTACAATTTCTTGTTTTAATCTCAAAGTAGTAAATGACTTGGGCATTAGGAGTGGTATGAACATTTTAGGTAAGGAAGAAAATCTTGATTAGAAGGTGGTGATTGGGGGAATGAGGTAATCTACCAAATATTTTGGTATTTTCCTTGATTCTTGATCTCCCTCTTTCTTTAATTGAATGCCACTTGGCACGTGCAGCAATGCTCAACAGTCAACTTATATACGGAGTATCTTTCATTGATTTGTTTTGGAGTTTCGTGTTCCAACATTCATTTCAAGGGTAGCTAAATTTTTTTATCTTACAGCCTTAGGTACACGATTATTGTATATACACTCTGAGTTAATGAGCAGTTCTTTTTGAGTTAGTGAATATAAAAGTCATAGGTTGTGTAATGAGTTTTCTTTGATGTGTAATAACTGTGTTCGTAGTGAGAAACTCATTTGTGGTTGTTGATCACATAATTTTCATATAGTGAATGATTGGTTTCTGATTATTGACCATATAGGTGTATGTTAGCAAATGGTTGCATGGTATTCTTGTGCTTATGATTGCATGATAGAATTGCTTCAAGGAGCAATTTTCTCAAGAGATATAACATATACATGCATACATATATATATATATATATATATATATATATATATATATGGGTTCCCTTATCTTTTTCTTTTTAAGCATTCTTGTTATAGCTAGTACAAGTTCTCCCTTATCTTTAATTCATTTTCTGTCTTTGCCTAGATCTGAATCTATCTTTTCCCTAGTGACATCCTGTATCCATCATATGTAGAAACATATTTTGTATAAGCTCATTTTCTTTATTTGCTCTTTTCAATACAAAGAAGGTTTTATTAATTTTTCCTCTCCTGGAGGCATATTGGGGTGATACAAGAATCCTGTAGTTCTTAGCTATTTTAGGAGACCTGCATTGATCAACAAGTCACATGTTAATGAATAATTTACCTTAATTGGATAGTAGATCACAAATACTTGAAGTACTCTCCTTTTAGTAACTTTACCTCATTCGACTTCACACCAATTTGGTCATTATTTTGATTCTCATAAATTTACTCTCTAGGTATTTGGCTTTAATTTGATTTATTTATTATCACAATTTCAATTTTATTGATCTAGTGTAACAGTAAACTCTCCATTCTGGACTCATTTACAAATACAATATTGTAATGTGACTAATGTCATCTTTAATCAGAAAGCATCATCTGAGAAGATTGCATGAATGGGTTTATTACCAATAGCGTAGGCCCATCTTAGAGGGAGATCCCATGTCACTCTTCTACTCATTCTAACAAACATTCATCATCACTTCTCAACACATATTATTGGTCAGGTCGATTTACATGAGTGATACACCTCTCTTTGGTGTTCTATGCAGAGGCAGTTTCTTAGGTGCAGCATCATGTCTTTTCCAAATCTATATAATTGAATTTAATTTTTTAATTTATAAACAATCTATAAATCTTTTTTAAAAAATATCGAAACAGTTTTTTGCAAGATCGCATATTCATCACATGTTTACTTACTGACAACATTTTGGTAGAGAGACCCGTTTGGAACCAGTCCATATGTTTCATGAAAATGACATCTTTTGTTGAGATTTTTTTCTTAGAGAGACCTTTCTGTGATGTGTTCTTTTGGCTTATTGGCCTTTTTCAGCTAGGTTTTTCATCAACACTTCCTATTATAAAAGCTGATTCAATAAGTAATTATAAAAGAGCATTAAAAAAATTACTTTTTTATGTATGATATGGCTGAAGTTAAAGAACCCATTCTACCCTCATTTTAACTCTACTCCCTTTGTCCCAGAGTATTTGTCTAGTTTGGATTTTCCATGTCATACTAGACAAACTTAAATGATCCATTACATTAAATTTGCATTGCATATCAATACAATGAAATAAATTTTTTGAAGTTTTCTACAAGGTAAATCTAATGAATTCATTTTCGTTCTAAGATGCAATATAATTTTTATTTAATTGATGATCATAGTTTGTCTAACTGCCTAATTAACAATTTTATAGCACTGAAGTCTGCTTCTTCTGAGTTCTCTTATGCATTTCAATTGGCATGCTAGGATTTGATTACTTCATACATATACTACATACAGGACAAACAATTTTCTCTGCAAATCTTCAAAAATGAAAGATTGTGGTATTATTGTACAGGTTGCATCACCACGAAGGAGCTTGGGACAGTTATGAGGTCATTGGGACAAAACCCAACTGAAGCTGAGCTCCAGGATATGATAAATGAGGTAGATGCTGATGGTAATGGAACTATTGACTTCCCAGAATTTTTAAATCTAATGGCGAAGAAGATGAAAGACACCGATTCTGAGGAGGAGCTGAAGGAGGCATTCAGGGTTTTCGACAAGGACCAGAACGGTTTCATCTCCGCTGCTGAGCTACGCCACGTGATGACTAATCTCGGGGAAAAGCTTACAGATGAGGAAGTTGACGAGATGATTCGAGAGGCCGACGTCGACGGTGATGGGCAGATCAACTACGAGGAGTTTGTCAAGGTTATGATGGCCAAGTAATGACTCATTTCTTTCCTTTCCTCCCTTCCCAATATAAAACTTTCTAGGTTCTACATGCTTGACCATTTGGAATGAAGGCCTAAAACTTTGATGGGGTGGATGGTTCAGCTAATATAATGCATATCTATTTATTTTTTTTCCTTTTTATTTTCTAGTATTTTGAGTGGTTTGTTGGTTGGACTTTGAATCACAGTATTATTTTTCCCACGGCAATGGGTTGTGGATAAGACTCTTTATCCCCCTCCCTTTGGTGACGTGTCTTGTTTTTGAACTTATTGATTGGTGTCACGTTTGTAAATTTCTCTGCCGGGCAGACTTGCTTTATGAACCGTGCTAATCGAGTTTCTTCTATATATGTTCAATGTGTTATATGAGGCACCTAATTGATGTTTATGACATCTCATGTTCCCCTCTACTATCCAAGTAGGGATAAGGTTTGTACACACCCTCAAATTGTGTAAAGTGTGTCCCCTTTAGCTTATGGACGAGGAGCTTGACAGGTACTTTGCCTGAATTGTGTGCACATATTTATGCTTGACTTACAGTGTTAAGTATTGTATCAACTTGTGAGAGTTCAAATTTGTACACCTGGAAGCCGAACGGTTTTGGACTTGTGAGTGTTAAAAAACCGAGCCACATCTGATATAAGTTTCCAAGATAGAGAAATTTTAATGGGTGTTGGAGTGGCGGGAGCATGCACATACAATTAGATTGTTGACTCTAGTCTAGTTCTGTGGTTTAGTTCAGTTTTGGTTTGGGATAGGATGAGGGTTTGGACCATTTAGTTACCGTGGTTGGAAAATAGACTAGGGATTGAAACTATTTGATTCGGGGTCCTCGTATATAGGAGCCAGTGTTGAAGGTTCTCGTCTCTTCGTTTCTCGTTCTTGTTGAGAGTTAAAAAATGGACTAGTGAGGTTCCGTTTTGCACACATGAATGATCAAATTCATAGCCAATTCATCTTAGGTCACAATTTCGTCTTCTACAATTCCATTTTTCTTATTTGAGCATGCTTTCTTGTGGGATTACACTTTGTTGTTGACAAAAGAACTATCCAAAAATTGTATTTTTAAATATCATAAATTTAAGTTACACAGGTAACATGCTCCTTGTTTTACCGTCAACAACATCAACTCAGTTAGATATTGAGAGAGTATGGTAGGGCCTGATGAGGGTGTTTTCAAGTGATTCTCATCTTCAATAACATAGACAGAGATTATAGAAATTACAAAAAGCATAAAAGAAGCAAAGAGCAAACAAAGGTTAACGAAAGCCTACGAACTATAATAATTTTAGTTTCTGAATGCTTAATCTTATCTAAGGTTATATCGTCAGTAAGAGCCTGAAATATTGATTTCCTTCCAATTCTTTTTAAGTCTATCCCTTTCTTTATTTCCACCAACCATTGTAAGTCTCTCACACCTTTACACTGTGGCCTCAGCACTTCGTCAATTCACATGTCCAAACCATCTCAATTCCAACAATATATCCTCCACATGTGTCACTTTTACTAGTACTCCGTTCTGAGTCATATCTAATCTTGTTTTCCATACATCCACCATTGCATCCGTATCGCTACAACATGTAGTTGATGAACATCGGTTTTCTTAATTGTCTAGCACTCCGTAGCATACTACATAACTGGTCTGACTACAAATCGATAAAACCTTTTTTTCATCTTAACAAAAAACTTTCTTGTCGCATAGAACCCCTGAAGCAATCTTTTGTTTAGCCCAAACCACTCTAATAAGTTGCACAACATCCATTTACAACTCTACATCCACTTACATGACCTAACCAAGATATAAAATCTTGTCTCTTTTAGACACTTGGTAGGAATCAATCATAACTTCCTCCTTTAGTTTCTCGGCTACTAAAACAACATTCCATACATGAGTTCTTTAGAACAAAATATGATGCTTTTTTGTCTTGCATCCACTTTCCTCTTGATAGCATGAACAAATGAACACTTATTATTATTGGGTGGGGTTCCCATGACATTGGGTTTCAATGTCATGGGATGACCCGGGGGTGCTCCGGTGCCCCGTTCGTAAAATTGACGGTTCCTACCCCTCCTAAAATTGACGAGTCCAACTTGTTTTGATTGTTGTCGTTTCAACTTGATCAAATTTTTATATCTTCCCATTTCAAAAGCCAAAATTGAAAAAGTTTTTTGGGATGGAGGGGGTATAAAATAGTGACAATTCTAAAAAAAGAACTTAACTTTTGATTTTTAGGGTTGCGAATGTGACACTTAAACCCTTAATAATTATGGTGTATATTGGTACATAATTAAATGACATAAAAATTTGATATATAAAAATTACATCTTAAAATAGATATACATATTAAATAAATATAATTTTCATACCGTCACGTTTCAATTTTTAGGATGATTTGATAAATAGATTAACAGTGAATCAATATGATTTGAAAGATAATGTAAGAATTAATAGTGAGGAAATGATTTTTTAAAGAGGGAAGGAAGTACATTTTACTCTCTCTGTTCAAAAGTAAATTGCGTGTTTACTATTCATAAAATCAAATTTCATTCACTATCATTCTCTTTTTTCGGTTGTCATTTGATAAAAAAAACATATCACCACTAGTTTTGAAAATCTTTTGATGTAATATTTTAATATGTAATTTTTATTTTTTAATTTTACACCATTTTTTCAAATAAAAATGATTTAAAAATAATTTCCGTCAAATATAAGTCCCATTTGTACTCGGTATGTAGTTGCGAAAAATACTCGGCACTTAAATAGGATTAGTGGTCGGCACAAAAATTAATTAGAGGGGGAAGCAATTAACTTGGGCACGAAGAAACCAAAGTCGGCGTCCATCCATGGAGTGTTAGGATTAACTAATAACGAGGCATGCATATATATACATATCCATCCTATAGTTCAATTATTGCCTTTCACAGTACAAGCTCGCTCGAGATCCATAAATAAACTATGTAGCTGGGAATTAAACTATGTCACCCCCATATGATATATGGATTAAGTTTTACGGCCAAATATATCTAGTGCATCCTCTAGTTTCGAGAATATGCACCAATTCTTCTTCGGATGTTGGCTGTTGGCAGTTCGTGCCAGCTGTTGTGAATGGTTGTTTAGTTTAGCTGGTTTGAATGGCAGAATGAATTGGCTGATCGTTAAAAATGTTTGGTAAATTAGCTGTTTGAAAATAGTTTTTCCTATATATATATATATATATATATATATATATATATATATATATATATATATATATATACACACACACACACACACACACAATAATTTTTTTAATGATTTTTGCTTTTTATTTTCTCATTTCATTTTTTGAAATTTTTAAATTTTAAATTTTATTTTTTTTAGTATTTAATTTTTTTAACTTTTATTTTTATTTTTTACATATATTATAAAATATCTTTCAACAAAAATGATTTTTAAAAAAATATTTTTCCTAACCGCCAAGTCCAAATGCTACTCCCCTTGGCATTTCAGATTTTGGCTTTTCAGATCAAAATGCCAAGTGAAAAAGTCATTAGCCAAACAATGATTTTGGCGGTTCGCTTGGTTAAAAAAGCCAAAGTCAGTCAAAGATGTCAAAAGCTATCTGAAATGCTGTTTTCCAAACACAGCTTTCTTTTTAAGAGTTTTTTTAAGATCTCTATATGGTTCCAAAACGTCGCATAGACACCCGTTCCGACTATTTTTGGTTTATTTTTCCGTCGACTATGTTTTCTAAGGTAAAAAGAAAAACTTCTTGAGACACTTAAAAAAGAAAATGAAGAATATCAAACGAAAATAAAATAAAGAGAAACTTAATAGGGAAAGGAAATGGAACAATAAAAAGGTATAAAAAAATAATTTCATAGATCATAAAAAAGAAAATGCAGACATATTTCGAACTTCGAAAAAAGTTACTCCCTGTGTTCTAAAACTATCTCACGATTACTATTAACACGATCAGACTTTATTTACTTTCATTACCTATCTTAATCAGTCATTATTTGATAAACTAATATACTTAATCATGTCACTTCTACTTTCCTGGAACTTTTGATGTAATTTTTGAAAACATTCGAATAATTTTTATTTTTAAATTTTACACTTATAATCAATTGAATTGAAAATATTTTTGGTTAAACCTTCCTAGACTGAAACCAAAAGTTAGTTTTAGGATGCAAGAAGTACTCTTTAATTAGATGTCATAAAAAAGTTACTCTTTTTAAATTCAATAATAAAAAGATTTTTTTTAATTTGTTGGGCGTTGGTCCAAAAAACATCATTAATCTATTCTGCAATCCTAAAAGAATGTTATCAAAAAAATTTTAAGACCCCACCCCGCCCCGAACACATCTCTCACCTCTTCAATTGCACCCCACAAGTTGATTTTGACTTTGGAGTCAAATTTTGACTCCAAAGTCAAAATGAACTAGTGGGGTGCAATTGAAGGGGTGGGGGGTGTGTTCGGGTCGGAGCGGGGTGGGGGGGTTTACCGGGGGTTTCCCCTTTAAAACCCAGAAGCCACTGGTTTGTTTCCTCCCAAAGCTACACTACTTAAGCTGCTTAAGACATTGATGATTCAGCTCATTCATAGACAAGTACAAGGAGTATAAAAAAGACGTACGCGTAAATAAAAAACAATCAACTTTCTTTTTTTTTTTACAATGACTACAGAGTGTAAGAGTACTTTCGTGAATTTGATATACGGAAACACAAGAAACTTTGGAGTATTATCGATTTCTGTTTTGTACTAATGTTTTCTTGACAGAGTAAAAAATGTACGAGGGGAAGAGCACGCGCGTAGGGATCGATCAAACCTTGATGCCATTGTTATTGGTGGCAGTGTTGGGACAATGATGATCGACACCAAGCAGATTCTCAAGTGATCTGGCTTTCCTATTCCGCGCCCTACCAGCCTCCTTCAATAGCTCACCCAACCTCTTCTTTTCATCATCCACCTCCGGGTTCGCAGTTCCTAACTTTTCCTCTCGAATCCCGACAATGAATTCCAGTATTTCTATTGCATCATCCAACCTGTACATACAACGACAAATTTGGCAGCTGAAGCATTTGGAGAAAACAAAATTGTGCAAATTATGTGTGAAGCCAAATTATGCATAAGAAATCACTCTAAAGAGGAGTAAAACATAGAAAAAGTACCAAAATAGGAGCTCTATGTTTTTATCCCCAAAATAACAGGTCACACTCATGTGGCACTATATATGGACATTTCACAATACTTTTTGCTAATGTATATGGTCATGATTGACACTATATATGCATTCTAACACCTATTTCAAGAATAAAAATATAGAACTCCTATTTTGGTATGTTTTCAATGTTTTAGTCTTGTCGTCTTTACCTGCCAACCGCATCATATGTGCCTGCAAGATTGCTACACACCCCTAACGTGACTGGATGATGAGGCCCACATTCTTGCTCCAAAATGGCCCTTGCTTCTTCAAACAAATCTAGAGCTTCATGTATGGCATAGCGTTGTACGCAAGCAAGCCCCATTTGGTTGAGAGCAATTCCAAAGAAGACAGATTTCTTTTCTCCACTTGCGCGAAGCTTTGATATGCTGCTTTTGAATGAGTCGTACGAGTCTGCATATCTTCCCAACATGTAATAGATCACCCCCATCTGGGCTTCAATGCCAGCAGTAGTACTCTGCTGCCCAGGGGAGTCGTAAATCTTTAAAGCCTTGTCCAGCAACTTCACTGCATTTTCAAGCTCATTCATGGATTCATAAATGGCAGAAACGTCCGTAAGACCACTGGCAATCTCTTCCGGAGCAACACCCGGCAAAGATTTTCCATAAATTCTAAGGGCATTTTCGCAATACGACTTTGATTCTCGCAGTTTGCCTGTCCTGTTGCACAAGTCAGCCAGACGGACAAAAACTGAAGCAACGGAGGGATGGGTTTCTCCTTTGCTGGATTTGAGAGCCGCCAGAGCCTTTTCGTAAGCACAACTGGCTTCATCATAGCGGTTTAGCGAGAGATATGCCTCCCCAATGCTACAATCAACAGATGCCACATCTGCTTCGGGACCATTGGCAGCCACCATGGCCATGCTTGCCAAAACAAGATGTTCAAGGGCAGTTTCGTGATCTCCCTTTGACTCACAAATTAATGCCATCAACCTCCTATCTGCTGCCTCTTCGAGGGAAGAAGGCAAACCATCACCTTTGTGCATGTTCAGAGCCATCTGGCAAAGTTCCTTAGCCTCATCAAACTGCAATGCCTGAACATGAGCTTCAGCCAGATACCTGCACGTTTCACGGACTGCTGGATCCTTGTCGCCCAGAGCTTGGATTTGGATCCCCAAGCCTGTTCTGTAGCAAAGAATAGACTTCTCAAGTTGACCCAACATAGCATGTGTATCACCCAACTGCATATATCCAGCAAATTTGGCGAGGGCATGATTTTGGCCTTCCTCATTCACTACCGGAATCTCAATGGAGCGTTCTAGCACGGGAATGGCATCAGCATACCGGCCTAGATTACAATAAATGGCTGCTGTGACATGCAAACACATGACCATATCCAAGCTGGGCTTCCCATCAACACATCTCTCAAATGCCTTGCCAGCTCGAAGAGCTAAATCAAGAGCTCTGTGTGGGTTATCCCCAGATGAAAACACATCTCTTGCTTGCTTCAGAAGGAATGGTCCAAGATTAGGGTCTTCCAAACGTGAATCAGGCTTGTCCTCCTTCACATTCCGCGCCCTCAACCCCCGCGTTACAGATGAAACTTTCTGTTTACTCAAAGGGGCAACCTCACTATCTTGTTTTCTTCTTTCGCCCTGCTGATCTACAGAAGGGATTTTGCCTATTGGAGTTAACTTTGCAGTTCCTTTCTTCAGTTTTCCAGATGGAGGGCTTTTGGAAGTTGCGGATTCAGAATTGTCCAACTTTGCAGCCGAAGCGCCGCCCATTCTAGAGGTATAATCACTAAGAGAATCATCACCATCATCATGATCATGCTCCAGCCTCCCCACCTCCTCGTCCTCCTCCATTATCTCCACTTCCCTCATTTCCCCTCCTCCTACAAGATGGCGCAACTCTGAATCTATTCTTGACTCATCACCATCAGACCCGTAACTTAGCCTCGATGGTGAATGCTCAGAACTCTGCATCTCACACACATTCTCATAGAGCTCTTCAATGGATGGCTCGGCCACCCCATTCGTCATATACACCGTATCAACTTTCTGAGCGGTCTGAGATGCCGCAATATCAATATCCTTCGTTCTTGGAGACCCATTGGAAACCGAATTGTCAATGTGAACAGCATAACTCCTGATCTCCTTGACTTCATAATTCTCCCGGCCTTCAAAAGTTTCATCCATAACCACTCCGGGCATCTTTTAGCACCCACAAAAAGAAAAGCCCCAGCAGGTTACATAGCTCATCTGCATCCACATTGTATAAAACATAATCTCAGGGAGCTGAAATTCTAATTCTGATCTTTCAGTAACAAAAACACAAGTCTGCAAAAGAATATAATTATTTATAATTCAAAGCAGATCTAAAACATGCCACATGATTCATACCAAAAAGGATGGACTTTCAAACATAAATCTGACAAATTCTTCTTCCGATATGTCCACACATAAAAGAATAAATAAGAATAATACGGAGAAATGATAAATATTTGAAGAAGAAAAAAAGGAATAAGCAGCAAAAACCGATCATTCACATGGGAAGAACCCCAGAAAAATTCAAACTTTGATTAGAAAATATATAAACAAATCTCGGGAAATTACAGGAACTAAGAAACACCGACAAAAGCAAGACAGATAACTGAGTCATACAAGAGCAGGAATCAGACAGAGCCAAGCAAGTCAATGAGCAAAGTAATGCAAGAAAGAGGGAGAAAAAAGGCATACCGGGAAACGACAGAAAAAAATTGAGTTCGCTTAAGAAAAGGTAAAGCTTTGAGTGTAAACAATGGGGAGTGCCAGTGGGGCAAATTATATGGGGAAGGTCCACAACGCGCGCATCAATCACTCACCGGAAAAGGTTTTCCGTAGTGATTTCTGATTATTGGTGGTGGTTGGAATTTGGAAAGAAAGACATCCTAGTCAATTTGACGGACCTGTTTGGGAATAGCTTTAGCCATTAGTGTTAGCGTTTTGAAAAGTCTATCTACGGACAGCATTTAGCGTTAGCGTTTTCAAAGTAATCTGTACCGTTAAAATTTTATCCAAAATGCTAACACTAATCTCTACTCTTTGTCAATCTCTCTTTCTCAATCGCCCACCAACAAAAAATCATTTATATATTCTACTTAGGAAGTACCTATATATGTACAACTCAATGTAATATAGGGTGTTACTCGTACATCTGTATAAATACTCATTTTCTATTAATAAAATAATTATTTTCGAATAATTAAATATTCATTTTTTAGTATAACTCAATTTCAGAAAAATAAGTCTTTAGTTATTCGAAAATGAGCATTCAGTTCTTCGAAAATGAGTATTCAATTACTCGAATATGAGTATTAAGTTAATCGAAAATGAACACTCGTCTCGAATGTACGAGAAACACCATACAACCGGTTGTACGGTATATATTATGCTACTTAGGGTCCATTCCGTAGGACTTATTTTTTCTACTTATTACTTATTCTTATTAAAATCAGATCAAATCAAACCTAATCAGATCAGAACCAATCAGATCAGATCAGATTCAATCAGATCAGATCAGACTCAATCAGATCAGATCCAATCAGATCAAACCAGATCCAATCAAATCATATCAGATCCAATCAGATCAGACCAAATCCAATCAGATCAGACCAAATCCAATCAGATCAGACCAGATCAAATCCAATAATATCAAATCAAGAAAAAATATAAAAGACAATATTTATTGAGACTCATTATTTTAAATAATAAATATTGAGATTTCGATCTCATTAAATGGACTTCCAAAGTTAATGTATTTTAATAATGGAGCTCTCAACATTAATTAATTAAATAAATTAATTAATGATTGGGATGGATCCGGAAGTTTGAAAATAAAGTTTTGAGAAAAATAATTCGAAGATATCATAAATTTAGTTTTGACTGGTTATTTCCGAAAACGCAGTTAGTTTTTGTCTCGGAGCCATTCGGGGGAAAACCGCGTACCGTTTAGGTCAGATTTTACACAACGGAATGAATTAAGGAGATAACTCCCCATTTATTCCCACACGCCACTACACCTTTCCCCACCATTCATTTCCTCCATTTTAATTCCCCATTATTTCTCCATTAACTCTCCATCATTTCTCTTTAATATAAAACCTCCTCTTTCCCTTCATTTCCCCTCACCATGTTGTAACTCCCACCATCCATAACATCACAACTCTCTCTCTCCCTTTGGTGTGTTCGGCCAAACAGCAAGGCAGGAGACGGGGTGCCGGCATGTAGAAGAGGGAGGAGAAGGAATGAAGAAGGTTTGGCGCGTGAAACCGTTCGACCGTTCGTTCATACACTCATCCGTTCATTGTCAACCATTCATCTCGTTTTCCGTTTCATCAACCCCTTCGTTTAGAGGTGAGTACGTTGCCCTCTAACATTAGAATTTATAGTTCAATCATATCGTTATATTCATAGGATTACCCGGCTAAACATACGTGTGTCCGCATTGTCATGGTTATTCGTTATTTAGACTTTTCGACTATAAACTTGTTAATATAAACGTTAGAGAATCCATAATTTCATAGCTTATTCAATGTGAAAACATAAACATTCATTCCGAAAACTCCCAACATAATGACTATAATCGAACAGGTAAAATAAGGAACTACATGCCCTGATAATCGAGTTACAGGACTAGACAATCGATTACCGAGCTGCGCTGTATTTCTCATTAGAATCAGCAAGGCGTGATAATCGATTATCACATACTCCCTCCGTCCATAATTTGATTACAAATTGCGGGTTTTACGAAGTGAAATTTTCTACTTTTTGAAATCATTTTATTTACAACTTGGTATATCGATAAGATAGAAAAATTACATATTAAAAATCGATTATCACATATGTGATAATCGACTATCAGGCTCTGCGGATTCTTGGGTCTGAGTTGGCTTCACTGATAATCGATTATCACATAAGCAATAATCGATTATCAGGCCTCTCTAAACTTAGGATTTCCAGGACAAACCAACTTGACAATCGATTGTCATATGGTGACAATCGACTATCACAGTTCGCAGAACCTTGGGAACAGAAGCTAGATAGCATGATAATCGATTATCAACAATGGATAATCGATTATCAGCCAGTTCCGAACCGAGGGCCATCATGTTGAACAAATTGCTTTCATACCGAATCAAAAATATATGTTTGCGTTGAACTTAACTTTACTTACAAGCAATGCATTCATTTCATCATGTACATCCTAGACGCATGTTTTAGGATCATGGCATACTTGCATACCGCGGCAAGAGGTCAGGCCTAGTGCGCCTCTTTCGTGGGCCCGTCCAAAAGCCTTTGGGATCCAATGGGTTTCACATACCGCGACAAGAGGTCAGGCCTATTGCGCCTCTTTCGTGGGCCCGTCCAGGAACCTTCGGGATCCAACATGTTTCATCAGGAGGGCTTGTGTACGTACATGGTAGCTAGGCTTAGCTATCACCCACATTTCTAGGCTCCTTCGAGAGACTAAGGCGTTCCTCGGCTAATCTACCGTGTGGGGATGATCACCGAAGGGCAGGGGTGTCTCTGCGCAGTCTAACTCATGCATCATGGATTATTTGGCATTGCATCACTGTTACTCGTAACCTATTATTCATCAAACTTGTATGTGGTATCTCGTACTTTAGTACAGGTACAATTATGTTTATATCAATGTGAATGTATTATGCGTTCTACTGTTAGATTACCACTCAGCTTTTGCTGAGCGTATAGTGTTGTTTTCCTTTGCTATACACAGGTAGGCAAGAGGATCATGGAGCCTGACCCGGACAATTGGGTGATCGGGGCAGCGGATGAACAACAGTGCGGGCCGGATTAATTACTTATTTAACAATGAAAAACGTTTTGGGCTTGAACCCACCCTTGTCGTACTTCTTATTTAAGACTTAATGCTTACTATTCACAATTTCTTCCGCTACGAAACGTTTCCTTTAATTGAATTTATTTTAATCATTTATTAAAATATATCAAGGGGTTTTCAGTTACAATCAACGCAAGAGTTTTCCTTGTAGACGACCTTAAAAACCGTCTACGTAACCTCTCCGACTCGTTGGGCCACGGTGAACCGGGTTCGCAGGATGGAGGGTGTTACATCTGGTACCTACGATACATATGGTCATTTCATAAAGGAAATCTGGTACATTTGTTGTCTTATGAGAGGGTTCAAGTCAAGGTGAAGATTTGTTAGAAAATGTCTTGAATATATTTTCTAGACCTATCAGGATTACGACTAGGAATAAGATTATGATTATCTTTCCTATTCTCATCTTTATATATGTAGTAGGATTAGGATTACCCATATCCCCTTCCATATATATATATATATATATATATATATATATATATAGACACACACACACACATATATATATAGCTTGTGTTAGTACTCCTCAATTCATGGTAGAGAGAATATGTAATCTGGTGAGAAAAAACTAATCAATAAAATTTTCTCCTCTCCGTGAAGATTACTAATAAGTTGTTAATAAACCATGTTAAATCTCTGTCTTTTTCGTGATTGTCAATTATTCATGTTCATACTTTCTCGCGTATGTCATAACAATTTTTTTTGTAGGATTATATTGGTTTGTTGTTGTTCATATTGAAATAAAAAATAAAACTATTATTTTTGAAAATTAAATCAAAGGTTCTACTCACTTCCTCCCAAATTATAGTGCATATTCATTATTCACATGGTCAAACTTTATTCATTTTTTTGACTATTTTTGTTACTAATTTAATAAAATAACATAGTCATGTAATATTTTATTTTTTAATTACACTCTAACCTTCGAATAAATCAAGTTAAAAATAAATGCAGTCAAAGATTGTAACCTGAAACAGACACTATAAATTAGGACTGGGGGATTACAAAACAAGAAGTTAACTTGAATATGGACGTGACCTTCTTGAGACCTTAAGAACATTTACAGAGGTGTACAACAATACAATAAAATCAAAAAGAAGAAAAAGAGAGGCACCAAACACATTACAAAACTACCTGAACATATGTGGTAAGTTCGTGGGGGTGTAGGAGAATCACCAATTAAGAGTTATGCAAACAAACCAGTCAACTATGCTGTAGAGAAAATACTGCAGCACTGTCACAGAAACAAATGATAGAGAGTGTGCTATAAGTCTATAACACCATCTCCGTCACGAGCATACACAGAAGCAGATGATGCAGAGGGCGTTACAGTGCTTACTGGGCATAATGATGTAACTATAAAATGCGTAAAAAATAACACATGGTATGTTTACGCAGTTCGGAGCAAATTCTCCTACATCTGCGGGTCCCACGTTCGTGTAATAGCCCTCCACTAAAGCACTAGATGCAAGTTACACCGGTACATAACAACATGATGAGACACATTTCTCTGAATTGTTATGACAAAACCTCTAATCTATGATTTCTAACTTATACCCTGTACAGATCAGCTTCGGCTATCACATCTCCACCGAGATCACGAGGACAAACGTGTTGGCAGCCCTCTCCTTAAGCTTTGGTTCATCTCCTAGTTGTCATGATCTATTTTTCGTTGTAGGACTTCTTCTTCATGTAGATCATAACTTTCTTCACGGAAGGGAAGCTCCGGGACGCGACGGGAACGCTCTACATCAGCGTATATTCTTTGTTTTCCCTCTCGATCGCTCCAAGTAATTCCCAGGGATCTGCTGCATTTTTATAGGCTTCTTTTAACACAATCTTAGTAGGAATAGGTTAGTAGAATTTGGATTGAATACAACTTGCTTAAACTTGATCCACAAGTAGCCCAAAGACTTGGGATTCCTTAACACGTACTGCTGGAGTTATTATCATGTAATCACAATCCCAATATATCTCTGATTCTGATTGCAGCTTAAAATCCCATGCTCAGACTTCTGATCCTGAACTGTGTATTGCAGCATCGTGCTATAGCATCTTATGTGTCAACCTTGAAAACTGCAGCAACTCTAGAAGTCTAAATAAAATAAACCTCTCCTAACAAATAGAAGTTTCTACCTAGTAAAACACCTAACAATATGGGATTCTATGGAACTAACACGAACCACTGTAATTTTGGGGTGAAAATTTCTCCCCCAAATTTACAAACTAAGCCACGAAATTGTAGAGCATACCTGGAAAGATGATCAAAGAAGAAATTGATTACGTAGATGTGAAGGGAAAATGCTATGGAAGAGGTGTTGAGGCAGATGAGATGCGGAATAAGAAAAGTAGCGATCCAGAAAAAGTCAAGTAGTGGTTAGAAGAGAGAGAGAGAGTAACATGTGAGCAGTTTGATTGGGCAGGTTGCGGACTATCCCTATATTTTTTTACTATTCACGCATAAAATTTTGGGCGAGAATATTTTCCTGCTGCTGTTGTAAATAGGGAGATGTCATGAGGATGACCCGGGAACCTTGCGATGTCACATTTATAAAAATTGGCGATTTCTACCACCCTTAACTCCCGGTAAACCCCATCTCGACCCGACCCGAATTCACCACACCTCTTTCAATTGCACCCCCAAGTTTTTTGACTATGGAGTCAAAATTTTGATTCTAAAGTCAAATAAACTTGGAGGTGCAATTGAAGGGGGTGAGGCCTAGGGGTGGGTTGCGGTCAGGGCCGATGGGGTTAAGGTGGTAAATCAGTCAATTTTACAAATGTGACATCACAGAACTCTCGGATCATCTCATGACATTGCTAAACAATGTCAAGGATGTCAACGGAACCGGGGTGATAGAATCAAGGGTATAAATGATCATACAAATTAACACATCCCAATGTCCACCACTCAACACAACATTCCTCTAAAAAAATCGGCATACAAATGAGACCAAAACAGATGGAAAATATAAAACCAAACAGAACAGTGCAAACTCTCCCAACAACCCTCAAACTGAACACACAAAAATATCAACAAAAAAAGGTTTGTCTACGTTGAAGTTTTCCTGAACTCCCACGCTCAACAGGACGCTTTGTGCATCCGGATGCCTTTTTTTAGTATACACACAAAAAATCAAATCCCCACTTCACTCTTACTATACTTTTTTACCCATAAAGATTTATTAACACATCTGATTGATTTTCAGAACCACCTCATTTTGAGTCTGAGATCTCCTTAACCACCTTATTCATGATCACCCTTTTCGACAAATCTAAAAACCAAGTTTGAATCTTTAGACCCAACATCAAAATCAAGAGTTTCAGGTACATCACAATTGATATACCATTGGACGAGTTGGGTCGCCTTGGATATTTGATTCGTCTTGAGGAATTGACTTCAATGGGTTCTCTGATTTGTCCTCCACATCTTCCTTCATTGTGGATTCTTTGAAATGGGTGTGACTATCTAGTAACATCGAATGTTCATGTTGTGGTATCGCATTCTTAGAACTCTGAGATTCGACAGGTGCATTCTCATTATTAGCATGAGTAGATGGATCACCAAGATCACATTTTTCATCTTCTTTCTTGTTTGTCTGCTTAAAAGACGAATCAATATCTTGAGTACTTTGTGCTTCATGTACTGAAATTCCAGATTTGCCAGCTGCCTTCTCATCATTAGCATGTGTAGATGGATCAAGAAGTTTGGGACTTTCATGTTCTATGCTGTCTATCTGCTTAAATTGTGAATCGATGGCTTCAATACTATGTGCTTCATGTATTGGCGTTCCTGAATCGGCATGAGAATGATGATCAAGAAGATCATATTTTTCATCTTCTTGAATGTTCTGCCCAGAATCTGCATCCTCTTCCAAAAGGACATCTTGAAGCAATTCAGACCCTTCGAGCACCTCCTTGTTCTCCATGGAGTTCAATTTGGATTGCTCAGAGAGAATATCTAAATCTTTCAGTGATTTTTCTCCCACTACAGGTATTCCCGACTTGATATCTTCTGTGCTTGAATTTTGATTCAACTGAGATGTTCCAAGAACTGCAAATGTCTTTTCATGATCACGAATGGAATCTTGATCTTCTTCTTCTTCTTCTTCATGAAACCTTGGAGTGAAAGGGCCGATATTGTGTAGAATGGATATACCTTCAAACTCATTGAAGCTTCTTAAAACCGGTTCTTTGACGCTAAAGTCACCAACCGCATCTAATTCGGATAATATCCCTTCATCAATTTCCTTGATGCCATCTGTTTCTTCAACTACGTGTTGCATTTTTTCATGGAAATCAATTGCTTCCATTAAAAACATATGGGGTATTGGCGCATCGATGAGGTCATCATCTTGTGGTTCATTAAAAGAACTCTCTATTATGTCTGATTGTCTACCATCAGCTGTTCGGAGAAGAATTGCAGCAAACGCAGGAGACTGTGGAGTGACTGTGTTCAGTTGAGCCTCGCTGTCAACATCTTTGATTCCTGAGACATTTGGTTCGCCTGTCTCCTTAGACGACTCCATCAAGATAACCGGCGGCTCCTGCTTTTTATCACAAGAAGATAATATCACTAAGATTTCCACAAACAATCATATAAATGAAGTAGCCCAATACCTTATACGTTCTATTATTTGTTTGATGACTAATGACTTAACATGCCACACAAGATGGTCACTTTTTAGGCATATGTGAGATTGAGAATCACACACACAAATCAGATGTTACGCTACACCGTATCTTTTGTGCAAAATATATAAATAAATGTATTTTGCAATTTCACTAACCTGCGATTCTGTATGGCCTTTGATATCAAGATTTGATATTAATTCTTTTTCTACTACTACTGGTTGTGATAGGGGCAAGGCAGATAAGGTTTCTTCAGTGATTGGAGTAGACTTCTCCTTTTCCTGAATTCTCTCCACTTGCACACCAGAAGCAAAGGAGGATGAAAAAATTTCTTTCGCTCGGACAGGGCTTAGATCATAAACAGGCTCCCTGTATTGGTTCTCATCCACACCTGCCCCTCCTAATGAAATTTCAAAAGATTCCGGGTTTGAATGATTTTTGGTTGCACTGGGATCCAGATCTTTAGCAACACATTCTTCGTGGACTGGACTTGGCCCCAGCTCATAACAATGCTCTTCACTTTTCCATGACATCTCAATTTCATCACCCAAATTTTTGGCTTCCAGATCAGTAGCCGAACCGGTGGAGTCAGTTTCAGGGACTGAACTAATTTTTGAATCACTGAGTTCACTCGATTGTCTTTGAAACCGCGAATAGCTTGCTCCTTCCAAACCGGTCCCTTGTTTGCTTGGACCGAATGATGATGGGCGTACATTAAAACTCTCATGGCGCCGAAAGAATGGATCTTTGGCATGAAAAGTCTTGAATTCTTGTTGGAAACTGTCTTCCATGAGATCAGGTTTCTCTTCGCTCGAGTCGTAAGGGATATCAAAAGGGTTGCTTCTGGGAAGCAAAACGGACGGGGCAGATCCTGGAATAGGTGGAAGTCCTATACCATAGAGATCATCAACAGGGACATCAAAAGGGTTTTTTCTTGATGTCGAAATGGGAGAAATGTTGAAAGAAAGATCAAGTACACTTTCGAAATCAATCAGATTCCTTTCGATTGTTGTCCTTCTGTCCTTCCTAGCTCTTCTCCTGGCAATGAGACTTTCCAACCGTTGGTTCCTTTCAATCTCTGAGCTTCCAAGATCCATTAGATTCTTCTCATCCTCCTCTGTCCAAACAATAGCAGCACCTTCTGTTTCTTCTTCTTTGTCACTGCTTTTTTCTTTTGCTTCAGCTTCTCCCTCTCGGTTTTCAGTCCCGTCATCTGATTCTGAATCATTATCATGGTGTGGGTTGTTGTTGCTCTCTTCTTCATCAAGAAGAGGATGGAGCTCGCTAAGCATCGGGATGATGTCAGCCATTGAAGCATCCGGGGAAGAACTCTCGGCTCCATCCGAACCTGAATCCGAAGCCGTGTCACCAACATCCTCTTCTTCCTCCCCATCTTGGTTCCAATCGACCCTCGCCAGTCTGGAATCACTATCGAACTCAAGATTTTCATCATCGTCGACATTAGGAACCCGGGAGTATTGATGGGGTTCTAGAATCTCCCTATTTACAAGAGGAGAGCCAATGTTCACCATCTTTGAGTCAAAGGAATCCACAGATTTCTTATCAAAATCAAGATTCTGATAATCCATATAAGAACCAAAGGAACCTCCAGGTCTTTCATCATCAAAATCAAGATTCTCATCATCCATATTAGGAATTGGAGGGTACCCGCGCTCTAAAATCCCCCCATCGAACAACTCAACACCCCTAGATTCTTTCCCAACATTACCCAAACTCCGCTCTAATTTTTCATTACCATTCGATGTGTTTGTGTGTCGATCAACGCAACGATACCTCTCCTCCTCCTCCCTCTCAACGACAGTGGTGCTTGGCAAAACCCCAGTTCTCAGAGGGATTATACCATGAACTGTTTTCTCATCTCCTTCCCTTTCAACCTGGGGCTGGTTTGGATGCCCAAAACTCAATAAAGTTCCAAGGAGGATGGCAGTGCAAATGAGAACAGGAGAAACAGACACCAATACAGAAAACACCAAAGGGAATGATCTGTGCAGAAATGCCAGAAAACAAAGAAACCCCACAAGGGATGGATGGTTGGATGCTGTTTCATAACATGTTTTGATTGAAAATATTAAAACTTTCTTCGCCTGAACTTCAATATCTAGCAGCTGAACACCCATTTCTTCTTCTTGTCCTCTCCTTCCAGCTCCACACCCACTTTTTATATTAAAAAAATGAAAATCTGGATAGAAGGAAAATCCAAGAAACAGCCAAACCCCTGTCAGATCAAGTCAAGCAATAAAACAGTCAAAAACATCCAAAGAAATAATTGACTGAGAAGAATCAAAAGCCAGTACCTGAAAACCCGAAAGTGATGAACTTTTCACAACTCAAGAACAACTCTTTACCTCTGCAAGCGAAGGGTCGAAGCTTTTATGCTATGGTTCAATGTGTAGAGAGGGGTGGATTGTGTGGAGAAGGGAGTAATAGGTTTGGGAAGAAGAAAATAACAATGGGAGAAAAGTAAAAATCGGTCCCATTTCTTTCTTTTCTCTTTCACGCCTTCCCTTTTTCTAGTCTGTGTTTTTTCTTTTCAGTGACCAAAGCCAACTCATTTGCTGCTGTGTCACTTGACTCACGCCACACAAAAAATTATGGATGATGCTACTACATATACACCAAAATTTCTATCGCAAACTTGGGTAAATATGATATACAAATTTTTATCATTATTTCACTTCTACGGGTGGCCCGGAGGGTATGCAAAATGGCCAATCGCACAGGGTTCCTAAAATTTTAGGGCCCCATATTTTTAAATTAAGTATTAATTTTAAAGCATAAGTATTCTAAAAAAAATAAAACAGAACCCAAAATGTAAATTTAGGACCGGGCCAATTTAATTTTTTTATTTTTCAGGGCTGGCCATGTTCACTTCGATATATAAACTTTAATTTCTTTCATAAAAGTACACCAACTTTTAACATTCTTTGGTGGTCCAATAGGCAATTTCTAAGTCACTTTCAGGTCATTTGAAGTCAATCTATAATTTTATAAATTTAAATTTTATGATTGTGACCCTTTTTTTTCTCTTGGTTCTCCACCATTTTCTTCATCTCCATTTTCTTCATCTTCTTTCTTCAAGACCCCACCCTTTTCCTTTTTTTTCTTCTCTTTCTCTTCCAGCCCCTCCCCACCCCACCCGCACCACACACCATCGACGGATGACATTTCTTTCCAGATCAATGCATAACAATAATAATAAAATAAATAAATAAATTCTACCAAAAATTTCTAACATGCAGATTGATAATGCCCCACTAACAGTGCCAAAGATTTAGTATACATTGATTTGGAAAAAAACATGATACTCCCTCTGTCTACAAATAAATTTTACATTGCGCGTTACAATGTTTGACTAAAGTTATTTTTAAATCATTTTATATGAAAAATGATGTAGAATTGAAAAATAAAAATTACATATTAAAAAACTATACCAAAAGATTTACAAAACTAGAGATGACATGACTATATTATTTTATCAAATAAGTGATGAAAATAGGCCAACAAAGTAAATAAAATTTGACCCTGTGAATAGTAAACGTAAAGTTTATTTGTGGACGGAGGTAGTATAATATAAGGTTGTTCTTCCTCAGAAAAAACAAAACAAAAAAAACCGATTATTTTTTTATTTTATGGTTAATTTTGGGAGGGGGTTATTCTAATCTTCTTCTCTCTTTTTTACATTGACCTCCTCAACCACTGACCTCTATTCTTCTGGTAATTATAATTTATATTACTAATCCCTATTATATTGGACTTCATTCATCATTAGTATAATCATATATGGAGTACTTCTTCTTCTTTTTCTTTTTATTTTGTATTTAATTTATTTAAATTTAAATTAAATAAAGAAGAAGAAGAAAGAATGGGTGCGTGGGGGTGGGAGGGGCTGACTGGGAAAGAGGGAGAGAGAAAAGCGAGGGAAGAGTAGGGTCAAAATAAAAAAATTAAATTTATAAAATTATAATTTGACCCCAAATGACCTGAAGGTGACCTAGAAACTGCCTATTGGACCACCGGTTAAAAATGTTGAAAATTCGTGTACTTTTTCTGAAAGAAATTAAAGTTTATATACCGAAGTAAATTAATGATGAAAGTTTGTATACCATAGGTGAAATTTACTCCTCAAACTTTCATCAAATCTATACACTAACATTTTGATAGTTCACACTGATACAAAATATTGGTACGTTAACAAAAATTTACACTGACACAAAGTGTTGGTGCGTTAACAAAAATCAGCATTACACCAACTCAAAATGTTGGTGCACACCTACAATGTACAAATAGGGTACAAATCCTTTGGGTAAATCTTTTTTAAACTTATAAAAAAACTACAGATTATTATAATTCTCGAATTCTTTGAAATTTTGTCACATCAACATTTTACTTTTGTTTGTTCCATTCATTGTATTTCTATTTAATCAATTATCTACTATATAAATATATATTTATACTATACATTGACTCTTCTACCAAATTTATTTATGAATATAATCAATCATTACAAAAATCAACAACATAAACATTATAGAGTAGTATTTATCAAAATTAGAGAAAATTATACTCATTGTGTCCCTAAAAGATTGCAATAGTTTGACTTTTTTGTCAAACTGTAGCACTCTTTGACCGTGAATTGTGAAAAAAAATATTTAGTTACTCCCTTCATCCCTTATAGATCTTCTCATTAGCCCTTTTTATTTGTCCATCATAGATCTTCTCATTACCTTTTTTAACAATTAAAATACCACAACTACTCTCACTTACTTTATTTATTACTACCTCCGTCCCATTTTATAATGTCTGTTTCGGTTTACGATGTTTGACTGAAATTATTTTCAAACCATTTTATATGAAAAATGGTATAGAATTAAAAAATAAAAATTATATATTACAAAACTATATCAAAAGATCTACAAAACTAGTAGTGACAATAATATTTTATTTTATCAAATTGCTAACGAAAATAGAGAAAGAAAGTGAATGAAGTTTGACCCTGTGAATAGTAAACATGCATTATAATTTGGGACGGAGGGAGTACTTCTCACCTACCTTATTTAATACACTCCATCCATTTTCATTAAGGGTATTATGGTAAACTTTCACTTTTTCAACTTTCCTTAAAAAGCGCAAAAAGTCAAAATGAGAAGATTTTAGGGGAACGGAGGGAGTATAATGTAAATTTAGTAAATTTTGTTTATTTTAAAATATAATCTAAAATATTAAATTTTTATTATTTTAAATTATATTTAATTCATGGTGAAAGGATGCTACAGTTTAACCAAGAAAGTCACACTCTAACAATCTTTTAGGGACGAAGAGAGTATAAAGTTAACACACAAAAATACATAAAATTAGATGAATACATGTCATAAAATAAAAATAAAACACAACAAATTAAAATTACATAAGTAGATATGACTAAAATGTAAAATCATGACATTTAAAAGCTTCCTCCAACTCTAATTTCGTGGTCCTTTTTTCCCTCCAATTTCTTTATGTGTTTTGACTTCCCCAAACGAAAAATTCTTTTAAAATATAAAATTACATAAAATAAAAATTACATAAATTAAAAATAAAAGCTAATAGAAAAATATATAAGTAACATAATTGACGCATATCATATTTTTATTTCTTGGAAGTTAGTTTGGGATTTCAAAGACTCTCTTCTAGACTTTTTGTTCTTTTTGTCTACCTTAATGGTAGAGTCTGGAAAAGGAAGCCTCGAGACTCTCCCGCACACACTCTCAAGACTTCCATTGAATATGCCCTTAGGGTGAATGGCGTGGGTGTAACGACCTGAAAATCGGTCTAAGTATTTTTAACTTTCTAGTGCAAAGGAAGAGAAAATTATTAATAAAAAAATTTAATTTAAAAAATAAATAAAAATGAGAATTTATTCCATTTGCACTCTCTCCCGCACACACTCTCGCTATTTGCTTAGTTTTACCTTACTCGAATAATCGTTAAACTCTTGATTTATCAAAATGAGAATTTATTCTAAATATATAATGTATCACTCAGTAAACTCAGTTTTGCTAGCGCGCTGCTCTGAGTGACTCAGACCACCTAGGGTGGGGTGTTATAGTGGGAGTGTGATACAGTCGTGATGGCTAAAGTGGCTGCCACATCAGCCCGTGATAGAGAGAAAACACCGCCCCCACCTTCATGATCGTGATGTGTGTGTTGACCATCACCGTCATCACACTTCATTTCACTTTTTTTTTTTGTTTTTTTTTTGTTTTGGCTGCGTCCATCCATCCTTCTAATCTTCTTGTTCATCGGTCCACCAGTCTTCTCTTCTCCATTTCTCTTTTGGTTTTTAGTTTTTGAATATTTTACATCTTTTTTATTTGTACCTTTTTTAATTGCATAATTTTTTTCCTTAAATTCTTTTAATGTTTAGCTCCGCCTATAATCGCACTGTCACTATAATTTTGATTTTAATATTAATAAAATATTTATTTAATATTAATAAAATATTTATTTAATATTTTATTTTAAGTAACTTTAATTTAAATAATGTAAAAAAAGAAAATTAAATAAAAAAGATGGACATAATGAGCATGACCCACACCCCTAGAAAGTGATGAGAGGTGATAAGAAAGAGAAAAATTGAACATGGCACTGAGTGCAGAAAGTGATGTTGTGATTGACGTGATCTACACTCTTCAGTCTTATTTCGCATTCAAAGTACATTATCCTTTTATGAAGGGTGGTGATATCCACACCCGCTGAAACCCTAAATACATCCATCAACTAATACACCCCGGATATATTATTATGTTATTATTCAAAAAGTTATAAAATTTTATTATGTAAAAAAACATTATAAAACAATGTTTAAAACTATTCATCATTTATTTCATTTTATTACTTTTCAAATAAAATAATATTTATTTTAGTTTTAATTGTAATTATAAAACTTTGGTGCCTCCTAATTTAGTTTTTCATTAATTAAAATAACTTTCATTGGTAATATATTGAATGATCATTGATTTTGTATAAAATCATCTATTTTATAAGTATTATATCAATATCTATTTCACCATTTTTTAATTTACATAGTTATTTTATAATTTTAAAATATGGTTATATACATTTTACTTAAAAATTTTATACAGAGTATAGTCTTTAAAATTGTTCATCGTCATTCTCTTTTATTTATTTTCAAGAGCGGAAATCTATATAAATGTTAATAAATGTGAATTATTATTAAAACTATAACTTTTATTTTAAAAGATATAATCTCTAATAATTAATATATACTCCGTATTTAGTAGAATAAAATATAATTATTATTAAACTATTATATTATTATTATTCGAACTAGAACTTTTGTCAGAATCTTATAATTGTAAAATGTTGTAGATGAGTTCATGGATTAAAAATAATTTTTTGAATAAGTATTAAAAATGATTTTGAAACTAATAGAGTGAATTTAGTGGGTGG